TTACTGTCTCTTCCCGCTTCGTTATCAGTCTTGGCACAGTGAGGGTGAAGTAGCTGTCAGTCCAGAAGGCTTTAAAAAATAAGGCTTTTCAAGTATTTCTGTCGTATTTCATGTGATGGTAGAGATCTACGTCAGAGCTCTTGGGTGTTAAAAACAAACCAAAAAAGCTGAAGCAGTTGTGTAAGTGTAGGGACAGTCCCGTATCTGCCTCCTGCCCCTCTCAGTTTGGAGGGGTTCTGACTGAGAGCGGATTCTGGGCAAATCTTTTGGATTATAGGCGTTGTCTCAATCTAAAATATAATTTAGTACTTTTATGCTGATTTCTCTGCTTCTCAAATACTTGGTTATTGTTCAGGTTTGATGGGTTTTCACCTGCGTCTGCAGGTTTAAGGTCTGTGATTCAAGATAGTGATCGCTGTTTAGGGCAAACCAGCCGAAGTTGAAAGGCTGCGTGCTGGAGCAGTGGGGGTGGAGTGACGCTGGTTGTTGGCATTTCACTTGTTGAATATGTGGAGTTTGTCCAAGCAGTAGTCTTGTATACTTTTAACTGACTGTAGCGACTATGCGTTATTCTTAAAGTACCTTATTTCAAACCCCATTGGTATTGAGTGGAAACTGAGAAGCGCCCGAGCTTTCCCCCAGCAGTCCCGATGCATGCCTAGTGCTGGAGATCAACGTAGGAGAACTCCGAGAGTCCTGCCTTTCCAGGCTGTTAGCATCCCAGACTGCTGGATCTACATGGGAGGATGCTCGAACCGTTGTTTTAGGTGCCCTGAGCTTGCTGAAAGGGAATTGTGCTATTGAAGAGAACTCAACTCTTCAAGTTTGTGTGAAACTTTTTTTTATAGGTGAATAAATTTCAAACTAGTTTATTCCCTTTTCCCACTGGAAATTAATGTAAGGAGTGATCAGAAGTTTCCTTTAACAGCAGGAGCAAAAAGGTTTACTGTAAGGAATTGCACCACTGCAGATTTTTTTTTGAAAGTGCTCTCTCTGACACTCTTCTGCCTCCTCTGTTCCCAGCCGCAGCAGATTAGTTCCAGCTGACCCGTCAGCCAGTCTGCAAGCTCCGTGCTGTGCAGCAGTGCTACTGTAAGGCTTTTTTTTTTAGTCCAGATGTGGAGCTAAGTACGGGATACCGTACCCTCTGCTGCCTGCATCCACAGTACATTAATCTAAAGGAAGAGGCGAGGCATTTAGGTTTACCAGTGGAAATAGATTTTGGTGTTTTCAGAGGGCAGTTTTATATCTGTGCGTTTAAAATATTTCCTGCTGTTTGAACGTTATGAACTCATGTTGATTTGCAGCTACGTAGTCTTGGTGCTAGATTTGGAGGTCCTGTTTCTGAACTAGGAGGTGTAAGCAGTTGTGTGCATTGATGGACATCAAAGTTCTCAAATACTGTATTTCATACCATTAGGAAATGGTGGATAGTGTTTCTTGATCACTAGGTTATTCATTTTTACTTCTAAGTCGTAAAGCTGCTTTTGACTGAAGATTGGAATCCAAATAAAAATGCAGAAAACAAAAATGTTGGCTTTTTTATTTAAAACAATGGCAAATATGCAGAAAGAGAAAAATGATTTTTATTAAAAATAGACTTATTTGTAGTTGTTGAGCTTGTCCTTCAGAAGTTGAGAACTATCAGGTCTTATTCTCCCTTCATTTGATTCATAGATCACAGACTTCCCAATTCCTAATCGGCTTCTCTGTTCCACTTACTCAGCTGGAAGGAAGCAAGTAGCCTCTGTGCCATCGCAGAAGTGGCACGAGGCAGCAGAAACTGTTCAGCCAAGACTGGGCTTGTGTGTGGAGACAGTATCTCTTTTTAGACCAACCTGTGCAGTTGAAAGGGTTAGGTAAGTTTTGGGGCAGGCAGGCCCTTCTTCACTTTTGGAATGGGAGCAGCAGACTTCAAAGCTCTCCAAAGAATACTGAAGAATTGTTATCGCTTAATCACGATGTTGCTCCAGAGTACTTTGGCGTTTGCTTCTCCAGTTCAATGGTTTGACTTTCTTTAAACCTTAAATGCTACACGTGATCTTAAAAGCATGTGCTGAGGAGGTACCCCCCAGTTCAGAGAAACCCTTCCTCTGCTCGTTAATGCTTTTCTAAAATTGTGTTTTCATTCCACCAGCGATGCCTTCAATTCTCTGTATCTGCATATCAGGAAAATTCAATTAGCTTTTCCCTTTTCTCACAAGTGAAATTTATGTTAGTTGAGTTGATTAGAAAGTTTCTTTGTGCTTCTACTTGAAAACAACAAACCATGTGTGATCCACTATGCTTTTCTTCCCCTTTCTTTTAAACCCCTTCATAAATCACCCATTAACTTTAACTTTTTCCTTTACACCCTTCACGCTAGTCACTTATGATTTATGTAATACCCGCGCCAGACAGCGTTAAAAGGCCATTTTCCCTTTCATATCTGTCGTCTGCCCTCTCTAATCCCTTCAAATCTTGCCTTAAATATCAGCTTTCCTCTCTTGCTTTCTTTTCGATCCGCGTGGCGCGAGGTCTGGCTCCAGCCTGGCAATAGTGTTAATCCACGACTCTCGCAGCAGAGGGACTGCCATTTTCAACACTGTAGCTTGGAGCATGAGCGATTCCTGAAATGCTGCATATTTCGAATTGAAGTTAACAGAAGGGGAAGATCTGATCAGAATAAAGCTGCTTTGCAAGCGGTGGGCTCTCCATTTGTTTTCAGTGTATTTGGGAAGTGTTTTACCTGCTCGCTTCGGCTTCTCCGGGGCGAGCTTTTGTTACCACCTCCTTTTCTCGCAATTTATCAAAAAGCTTGGCTTTTTGAAAGATGATCCTGAACACGGGTAGCAACGCTCATAAAAGAACAAAGGTGGAATTTTACGGCGTGTAGTGCTTTGACTTGTGTTTGCACACAACGTTTCCCCCGTTGTTAGATCACCATCTGTGTAACAGCACATGGCAACGGCGTTAATCAAAATGCTGCGCGCTGAAGCTACGTTTCCATCCCACCTTGTGGCATGTTTAAGCATGAGAGCGCCCAAGCGGTGTCATAACAAAACCAAACCCTGTTTGTATGGATTTGGACAAAAGGATTATAAACATGAGCCTGGTTCATTATCAGACAAGCTAAAACTAGTCATGCAGTAATTTAATTTACGGTATAATGATTCCAGAGGTTTGAAAACCCTAAGAAAGCAGCAAAATCATTTTCCACTGTACCATCTAACCAAAAAGTACCTAATAATGCTGTAACTGGGCCTTTGTATTCAGTTGTGATTGATCATTTATAGGTAGAAAGCTGGATTTAAGAGTTGGGGGTGGAGGGGAAGTGCCCTTGATACGCTTTCTGTATTAAAGGCACAAGGTGCCACTTACTGTTCTCAATAATCCCATTTCAGAATGCCAGGGTGAGCAGTCTCATCCGCACAGAAATCATTTTCAACTGAGATATATTATTGTGGGAGTATTTATATTTATGTTTACTTTCCTGAGGTGAAGCAAAACTCCAAAGTAGACTCTTTCTCTGCTCAGGTATCTTGCAAATCAGGTCTGCTGAGCTGGGGTTGTTTTTGGAAGGGATGTAGTAATTTTTTTCTCTTTTTATTCTCTTTCCCCTCCCCCTGCTCCTTCTCAAATAGGAAACCTCCATTTTAGAGGAGTACAACATTAACTGGACTCAGAAGCTGGGAGCTGGGATCAGTGGTCCTGTTAGGTAAGACAATACGCCTGCGGATTTGTGTGTAATCTCAGCCTCTTTCATTAGCTGTGGAGAAGTGAGTATGTATTTTAATTGAGATGTGATATGTGGAAGACTCTCTTTATAAAAAAAAAAACCCAAATAAATGTCTCTGTACTCCATGCGTGTCGCAGCTGATGTGCGAGCGAGGTATTGTCTTTTAGGGGATGTGTTTGAAGTAAAATCTCTCCTCGCCTCCCTGCCTTGTCCCGTCTCACTGCCATATTCCCGAAGCGAAGCAGGAACAGAAGTCGGTTGTAAAACGGTGGCAGCAGAAAATTCTCAAACACCTTTGTCCTTTTGATACCAGGGTCGGTGCGGTGCAAAGGTCGCTGCTCCCGTCTACGGTATCGTCGCTTGGGGCATCAGCACTCTGCGCCCATTAGCTATTTTTACCGGCTATTTTTTCACATCATCATGTGAGGCCAGAGCAGATAGTGCCACGAGCTCTGCATCTCATACCACGCTTGCCCGTCATGAATTTCTAAGCCCTGCAGGAACTGGAGGCTTTCTTGTAAAGCAAAACACATGTTCCCTTTTCAACAAGGACTCTCCCTTTTGGGAAGTGGGAATTTGCACAAAGTGCTGGAAAACAAATGTCTGTGCCTCTCTGTTTCTGGGCGCTTGACAGGGCGATTGTCTTTTGCCATTTATCTTCCTGTCCAGGCAATTGGTTTCTCCTCATTCATTTTCTGTTGCTGCGTTGCCTCCGATCTTTATGAAAATACCCCTTTGGTTTTTATTCTTTTAGCTGCCTGTTAATATGTGGGCCCTTCCCTCTGACGCAGTTCGATTGTTAATGTTAAATGGGGGAAAGAGAAGGGAAAAAAACCGTGTGCGGCACGGTTGGTGGCCTCGCTAAAACAAGGATTTCCATTCAGAAGCACTTTATTTATTGCACACTACACCCTCCATTGGAGATATTCAGGCTGCCGCTGTGTGGTTTGGGTTTTTTCAGCAAAAGTATCTCTTCAGGCTGAATGTCTAGAGTGCATTCTGCTTGTCTGCCATTACCCGTTGCTCTGAAGCACTTTTTCTGCATTGCTGAGAATATAACGTTGTGTTAGGTCTTTCTGTAGAACGTATTAGGTTGTTATGGAAGGCTGAAAACTGAGGCTTTCAAGCTGG